ACCTGGTGCCTTGTATCAATCAAGCTCTGGTTCTGAAAATAAACCAGGTTGTGAGCCTGTGGTTGTTTCTCCACTCAAGGGCCCCTGGAGCAGCACCGCAGCACAGATCCCCCATCCCTGTGCAGGAGGCAGCAGACAGGAGCGGCCCTGTAAGTTGTGCATGAGGCCTCAGCACAGCAACGCCTGAGGCTCTGGGTCCCCTCTGTACCCTGGCCCTGAGGAACCAGGTCGTTTTCCCGGTGCCTTGCTTGTGGCCTCCTACCACAACTCAGGCTTCCCAGAGACCACGTGACAGCTGCGACCAGACCACACATGTGACTGTCTCACACTTTCCACCTGATAGCTACCATATGCTTTTGCCAAAAACACTGTTGCCATCTTCGAGGGCTTTTCATACCCTTCTTTAGTTCCTTAAGCACTATATAAAAATACATACTTTTCTGAAAAGTTTTGAGTAGCATCTTTTCTTTCTTTTCTTCTTTTTCTGCTTTGGTAAGTGAAAAAGAGACCCTCATGTAAGGTTTAGGATTTCAAAGTGATCCTTCCCTGGGCATCCTAAACCAAGCCACTGGCCCAGAGAGGAGCTGATCTCCTCTGAAGCCTCCATGGCCCCTTTTACCTGACAGTTCAAGCATCTGAAACTCCAATTATTCAAAACTTCCGGATATATTTTGGGCATATACAAATTATCCGGCCTCAAGAGTTTTGGATAGATGTTTTGTTGCCTAATTAGTCTCAACACTGTTGAAAGAAGGGATATGAAGGAAGAAGGAGAGGATGAGGAGGGAGGGGAAGTGCTGGCTTATGGGTTGATGGGTCCCCATGCTGCCATGGAGGCCTGGTGGTGGTCAGGGGCTGTGACCAAGGCTGATTTCCCAGCACCTGGCTGCAGGAATGAGCACGAATTCACCTCGTAGGCCTCTGACTGGGTTCTGGCAGCCCCAACTTCCCCACCCTTTCCCAGACAGTCCTTCCTCTGAATCCATGCCCACCCACCCCTGGCTGCTTTCCACAGACAACTACACACACTCCACGCTTACCCACTTCAAACAAAGGGGGAGGGCTCCCGATGTCACATCATCCTCTAGCTGCCACCTTCCCTTGCCTGTCTTCCGCAAAGGCCAGCCACACTCTGCCTCGCGTTGTCACCTGCCACTTGCTCTCCAAGCCCACTCCAGTCCTGCTTCTGGGCCTCCTCTGCCCCTCCTCAATCAGCAACGATCCATGGGACCCAGCTGTGGGTCTGGCATGATACGCCATCGCTCCTGATTCTGCAGCCTCTCCCTGGGCGAGCCTGGCTGTGCCTTGTCCTTGTCCCACACTCACACCGAAAGCTCTCCCCAGACCTTCAGAACTAGGACTCTTCTTGGATGTCACACAAATACCTTAAACTCAATGAGTCCCAAATCGGCCCCGTTTGTCCCCAACTCACCTGGCTGCCTGTGTTTCTATCTCAACAGAAAGCAATGTCCACCCAGCTGCCCAGGAAGAGACCCTTATGTCGTTCTGGTCTTTCCTTGTCCTCATCTCTGCAACCAGCTCCCAATGTTCAATCCTTTCTTCTGTCCGAGAGCATGTGCCTGCGTTTCCATCAACTCCCTTCCATTTCCTTCTTTCCATGACCTGGTGTGAGCCACCTCCCTGTGCACTAATACATAGTTTCTAAATTCAGCCACTGTGTCGATGTCTGTCCCCTCCAATTATTTCCTTGCTCTACATATCACTTGAACTACAGAAAACACAAATTAGACTAAGAACCTCTTTTCCTTCAAGTCCTTTACTGACCCCCCACAAATAATAATAGCCAAACTCAATATGGCTTACAACTGTCAGCCCCATCCATCTGCCCGTCTTCACCTCTGACTTTTCACCTTATAGAGCCCAACTTCCCCCAGAATCCTGACTTCTGGTGCCTTGTATAGTAGGAGATGGTCAATAAATATCTTTGGAACCAATGAATAAGTAAATGAGCACTGGCCAGGAAAAGTTTCACCAAGGAGCTATGTGAACTAGATTTTGAAGGATGAGTAATTTTTTTTTACAAAAACAAACAAACAAACAAAAAACCGAGGGAGAATATAGGCATGTTAGAAATATGGAAAAGTGGGCTCACAGGTGTGATGGCACAAAGTCATTTTGTACATACAGTGTTTTAGACTCGAGTTGCAAGCTCTTGCTTAAATGGTAAATGGGTATATATAAAAAGGTAGGATGCATGTCATTGGAGATACACAGAAATACACCCACCAATGACCATCAGTGATGTCCAGCTTGACACCTCTTAGGCACTGCAATATCCAGAGTGAGCTGGAAATCAAAGGTTAAATACCACGCACAGGGCCTTGCAATCCTCCAGAAAGGAACCATCCACCGCTGATAAAATGGCACACAGTACCTTCAGCAAATGCCAGGCACCTGCAGCACAGGCATTACGTCATGCACTGTGGCATCACAAGGACCTCAGGCTCACCCTGATCTCTGATAGCCGGGACTATCAGCCCTAGTCATGCCCGGATCTGAGCGTGTGGCTACAGAATACAAGGGGTGGGGGATTCAGGGAAGACTGAAGAAACAGGAACAATACATTGAGGAATTTGGTAAATAGGCCCCAGACCCTAGCCAGAGAAGTTTCCCTGATCCAGAGAGAAGAGAAATCGTGCAATTAAAGTTTTATAAACGAACCCGTGGCTTCTTTTACTTCAAACAGCAATAGCGCCTAAGCCCATGTTGAAGCAGTTGTGCAGCTCAAGGCCAGCAGCCCATCTGGTGCAGGACTGTGGGGTTACATTGCTTAGCCTACTCTGTGCAGGGAGAGATTAATCCTATAGCAGACTCGACAGGCAGACAGGGCCTTGACATGCTCAGCGCTGGCTCCCTCGTCCGCTGCAATTCTGCCTTGGCATTCCTGAAGCTGGCTACCAAAACACACCCTGCACTTTGATCTGGATGTTGACTTAATATGAAACTCCAGACAAAAATATGGGGAAATACCTCTTCTCACCCTGCCCTCCATGCCATTCCCCTTGAACTCTTGAACGCAGGACCAGACCTCTGGGGAACAAGAGGCTTATGTGAAAAGAGTCCAGAGGCCAGAACAAAGAGCTGACTCCCACCTTCTAACCCTCTCTCTGGGAGGGCTCTTACTGGGAGCCTGCAGGCTGGATAATTACCAGGCGAGCTAGCTCAAGCCCCTTGCCCTGCTCACCTTCCACTAAAATGCATGGTACAGCATGATCATGAAATGTGCTTATTAATTTCATCCATTTGACACTGCGCTCTTCTGAACTGAGTGCAATGTTAGGAGAAAATGATAGGGATAGATTGTGCTCTTGTCAGGCTTACCAAGACTTTCAGAGAACCAAACTGTCAAAGGGCATCAGCCGCCCACTAGCCAAGTATTCAGAGTGACCCCAAAGGTACAAACAGAATGTTACAGATACAGATCGGCAAAAGAACAGAGGGGAGTCTCGAGACCCAGGCCCAGGGCTGGAGCTCCCTGTGAGGCTCCCGGCAGAGGGACCCTGGTGCCTGCTCTCCCACAGACCACGAGCCAGTCCGGCCATGATTCACGATGCGCTGCCTCAGGCCTAATCCATCAAAAGAGACTTTGACTTCTCAAATCAGAAACGTTTTTATTAGCTTCCCCAAGAGTTTTATGGCACAACCCCATACCTAATGACTCCATTTTATGGAAAGTTATACATTCCAATGGGGCTTTGAAGATAGGCAGCAGGTAAGACTCAAATTGTGGTAAAAAAAAAATCCCTACATCCTTTCACTTTAAGAATGTTTATAAGCTTTCAAACAGTTGGGAAAGTGACATGGAACATTTTAACAGGCTCCTCAGGCTACACCCAGGAACCAGCACTGATGGGCCCCGTACACCTGCTTGGTCTGAAGTGACTTCCAGTGGGAGCTGATTTTGCCCACCCACCATTTCCTCTTGGGGACACTGGGAAATGTCTGGAGACATATTTGACTGTGGCCTCTGAAGGAGAAAGAGCAGCTGCTACTGGCACTGACTGGACAGAGGTCGGGAATGCTGCTAAACGCTGTTAGGTGCACAAGAGAGGCCCACAGCAAAGAATTATCTGATTATCTGGCCCCGAATGTCAACAGTGCTGAGGCTGTGAATTTCTACCTTGGGGCTTCTCCAAGACCAGGCATCCAAGCCTTTCTACCTAGGAATGGCAGACACTAATCTACTCACTATTTTTATGTATTCCTAGTGCACATTTTCAAAGAACAAGGATAAAATGCTGTCATAAACAAAATGAGAAAAGTAAAAATAAGATCACCTTAGAATCTCAAAACACATGATGACAGTCATTACTGTACCCTCCTAAGGTCACTCTGCACTTTTTAAGCTCTACCTAAATTGGAATTTATCTATTGAAACAACAAAATAACCAGTCTCAACCCACAGAACTACTGAACACAGCACAAATGTCTGCTGAAAAGCAAGGAAGCTCTCTGCTAGGCTGTTGTGCTGTGGTTTGTCATTGCACTTGACCAAGGAGGAGGGCTGGTCCCGATTAGTTACTGTATCCAAGGACTAGGACTGTCACTTCATGTCTCTGGGTTTGGGTCCTCCCAATCAGCAAAGCGGAGATAAAGCTACTTGCCCTCCTGGGCTTCTGGGAAGTCTAAATGAGTTCACGGGTAGTCTTTCATGGAGTCCCAGATCCTTTTCACGAAATGTCACAACTAGAAGTGACTGTGGAAGTCAATGAATCCAACCCCTTAATTTTAAAGAAGGGGAAAATGATCATCACAGCTGTCAAATGGCTCAGCCACAGCCCACGCCAGGAAATGGCCCTGGCCAGCTCAGGTTTGCTGACTCTCCAGCCAGGACACTAGCCATGACTGCCCCCTCTGATTATCTTAAGTTCCTAGAGGGAAGAAGCACACCTTAATCACAGGCCAGAGAGTCCTGGATACAGGAGTTGAATATGTGTTCAGTTAGTAACCAAAACATACAAACTAGGGTCCTGACTTACTACATCATAGCCCGTTGGGGCTCGGTTCCGGGAAGCCACTACCCCAACTCCTGTGATGGGGTCCATCGATGTCTCTGGCAAAACTTCCGAAAGGTCTTTAACTTCAGGCATGGTGGATTGCTCCTGGTTCAGAAAAGGAAAAAGAAAGCACAAAATTCAAACAGTGTCCATGTGAGCAATATGCACAGATAAAACCAGAATCTTGGGGCAACTGACCCTTTCCTTGATCAAGAATTCCAAAGTCACCTCTATTCTGACCCTTGCTCTTCTCAGGTAAGCTTTGGACAGTCCTTGAGCTCAGGAGGTATTCTGAAGCAATCCCTAAAGCTCACCATTCATATTCTCTCTCTCTCCCTCTCTCTGTCTCTCTCCCTCCCTCCCTCTGTCTGTCTGTCTGTCTGTCTGTCTCTCTCTCTCTCTCTCTCAGGAATGGAACTCAGCCTTGTGCTTGCCAGGCGGGCACTGCACTGCTGAGCTACATCCCTCGCCGTGTCATTCTTCACTCTATCACCAACTGCCTGATTTCTGGAGATACCAGTAGCTCCTCTGAGGATAAATCAAACATAGCTAAGTCTGACACAGCTTTTGTTTCTCTCCTCTTATGATCCTGCCTTATAGAGGTACAGGCTTCCAAACCACAGCCTCTTCCAAACCACGCTGAGAGACTGGACTTTCTGCAGGCAGAGCTCTGCAAACACACAAGGAGCTTTGCAAACATGGAGAAGATAGTGTTCTAGGCATGGGGCAAAGGAACAGTGTTTGAGTTTGGGCTCTGTGACTTAGTAGCTGGCGACTCTAAGCAAGAAACTTAACCTCTTAGAAACTCAATTTTCTCACCTATAAAATGAGGCCATGATAGCAACACCCTCAGCATTGGTGCAAGATCTAAGAGAGCTGATGTAACGAGGGGCCTAGAGAGGTCTCTGGTACACGGGCCGTGAGGTCATTTACTCAAAAAGCTAAATACAAACAATGACCCAGGTTCTTGCCGGGCACTTTGGAGGAAAAGGGGGCACAGATGGAATTACTGTTCTTCTGCTGCAGCCTCTTGACAGGACTGGAAGAGACAGGGGCAATGTGGACAGCGCTTGGCCTGGGCAGCCCGAGTGGCTGTGCCACCAGGAAGCAAATAAAAAAGGCAACACCTTATGTAAATGAATTTAAGTACTTTTACAAGGACAAGCAGTGAAAAAGAGCAAGTTAAATTCCGCCTCCTTCTGCAGCAATTAAACTCCACTGGCTGTAGATCTGCCAGCTCTCTCAGGGCTAGTTACTGCTTTGAAAGCAAACCAAATACCCTAAGTAAGCAGGCAGGGGGGCAGGAGGAGTATTCTTGCCTCTCAGCCTAGAAGCACAAAAGGTAGAGGCCACTAAAAATTACTGCAGCCCCCTAAATAGGGACAATCAAAATGCTGTATACAAGTCACCCATGTCATCAGCGGAGTCCACAAAAGGCTCTGGAAAGAGCCATGTCCCTGCAGTGGAGCCAAGACCCCGATCAAAGCTAAGAGGTGCCTGGCACAGCTGCACTCTCGCTTCTGTTTATGACAAAAGAGAAGCTAAGCAGGCTTTACTTCTACAGAAAACAAGCTTATAGAGGGCCCGGCCAAGGGGTGGAGACCACACCGAATCACTGTATCATTTCCTATTTTCCAGTTTCATTCACCGGCCGGCTTATCTGCATAAAGCAAGGGCTTAGTACTTCCTGCACCCAGTAGGCGCTGAGTAAATATTTACTGAGTGACTACCCATGCATGCCCCCAACACAGGTTTCCAGTTAAAGATCTGCACCTGCCTGATCCAAAGCTTGCGCCCATCAAAAAGTGCCTGCACTTGAAAAATCCTGTATTATTCGGAACATGAACGGAACATTGCTGCAGTTTGCAAAATATTGGTACCTGCTGCTGGTTACCAAAAATGCATCGCAATTAACAACTCATTAACAGAATGTACGGATTCTGCCAGGGCTAAATATCACGCTGTGAATTTAATAAAGAACATGTGAGGGGAAGTTTTTTTTTTTTTTTTAAAGACAGTACTGCCTTTACTATCAGAGAGAGAGGGAAGGAGAAAGAAAACGCTGAGAAAGGGAGGGAGAGAGAAGAGCAAGGGAAGAGAGAAAGGCAGGGAGAGAGAGGGTAAGCCTAAGTGGGAAACATCTTATTTGCTGGTAGATTCAGGTCCTCCGGTCACAATATGCGCAGCCAGGCACTGATGACAAGGGCTCCTCTGCTCGGCGGCACACTATCAATTGCAGGAGGGCGAACCGCTCTCTCGGAGAGGATGCTCGGGGATGCTCCCGCCGAGGCGGCCCAGCAGCAGCTCCCAAGATGGCTGCAGGCGGCCTCCAGCTGAGGCAGACAAAGAGCCGGGCGCCACTGTTTTTTTCCCCTTCCCCCTTCCCGGCCCCTTCCCCCAGTTGCGGTGCCCTGGGGATGAGGCAGCCTTTGTGAAACAGAGACAAATGGCTGCTCTCACTGCCGTGGAGGAGGCCCCGCCACCAGCCAAGGAAGCTTTTAATGAGAAACGCCCAAGATATCCATGGCAGAGGCCATCGCTCAAAGCTGCTTGCCCTGAATTACATATTTTCTGACTCCCCTTCCCGGCCCCTTCCCCCAGTTGCGGTGCCCTGGGGATGAGGCAGCCTTTGTGAAACAGAGACAAATGGCTGCTCTCACTGCCGTGGAGGAGGCCCCGCCACCAGCCAAGGAAGCTTTTAATGAGAAACGCCCAAGATATCCATGGCAGAGGCCATCGCTCAAAGCTGCTTGCCCTGAATTACATATTTTCTGACTGCAAATTACTTTTAACAGCGTCTCCACCGTCACTTCAATTGACCTTCCTAACAAAAGGCCATTTATTAACTAGCACTCTGCGTCTCCCCGCCCCCCTTAGAGCCTGGAGCCAGGAGGGATGGCATCGCCGTCCTCGGCCGCCCAGGGTCGCAGGCCAGGGGGAGGAAGAGGCCAGGAGTGTGGCCCACAGGGCAACTCGGAGTGGGGCCGGGGGCGGCGGGGAGTGGGGTGCTTACGACCAACATTCACCGGCCTGGCAAGAGGCGACCCTGGCTAAAGCAGACTTCGGAGGCCGCCTTCGGGAAATGCCTGCTCCTGTCTCAACAAGAGAGGGAATCGCCTTCTCCACACCCATCTGCACCCTCAGGCTCCTTCTCAGTTAACGCGAACATCAGACCTGGCAGGCGCTGGGCCCCAGTTTTACAGCAGAGGAAACTGAGGCCTGGAGCGCTCAGACCCACCGCGTGGGTGCGGCCAGCAGAGGCGCGCTTCTCCCCAGACCCGGCTGCTTGGCTGCTTTGCGTTACTCCGCTCACACAGCCCAACACTGCCCAATCGGGAAAGCAGTTTTCAACACTAATTATATTTTAAAATGCCAAAGCTCTTCTTTCTCTGGCCACAGCTCAATAAGTCAAGCAAGGGGGAGAAAAGTACAGAAAGATAAAAGTAACATGGGATTAATTTTCCTTGCACCTCAGTTTCAAGATTCAACATTCCCCTCATAAATAATTTACAACAATAAAAATGAGCTAAGGCCATGTTTGTGTAGGACGGAGGTAAATTCAGGCCTAATGAGGGAGATCCGAGCACAGCACGGGAGGGAACTGGTTGATCTACAGCCCGGCGTGTGCAGGATCCACAGCACACAGGGGCTCCATTACCCTCCGCGAGTGGTGGGGCCGAGCCGAGGAGGGGAGCCAAACGGGGAAACCTGTGCCATCCAGCTGTGGCTGCAAGGAAGGTCTACAGGGAAAGCCAAGCGGAGCCCCAGTGTCTGGGTGGTGAGACAGCAGATGTTGAGACTTTTTCCCCCCCAGAACTTTAGCATTTAGCCCATCTGCAATCAAGTCGGTTCTCAGCACAAGACCTCTAAGGAATGAAGGTGTGGGGCACCTGTGAGTCATTTCTGCTCCTGGGCGTGGTGACACTGACCCTGGGCTGCCCTCATTTAGCCTCTCAGGTTATCAGGTCTCAATTCCCTTGCAGCATCTCCCCTGAGCAGGCCCAAGGCTTGGCTGCGGGCAGCTGTTCTTGGTTCTGCCTGAGACTTTCCTCCCCAGGGCAAGAGTGAGAATGCGTACGTGCTGCCAAGTGTGTGCATACAGATGCACTGTGTGTGTGCACACGTGTGTGTGGACGGGGTAAGATGGGGAGGGTCCGGCTGAGGTGTTTCCTAAGCAGGAGGATTTTGTCTCCCTGACATGGTCCTCCAGAGCTGCGCGGCCGGCAGGGCTGGGAGGAGGCCGGCTGCCCACTGTGGCCTGCAGCGCTGCAGACAGGGCTGGGGGAGGCCCTCTCCAGTGCTGTCATCCAGGTTCACAGAGAAATGAACTTTAACTACGAACGCTTTCACCCAGGCGCACGCTGCTCCCTTGTAGCTGATCAAAGAATTACCACAACAGTGTGCTTAATCCCTAAAAGTCAGCAGTGCTGGGCTGAGCTGATGCTGAACATTGTTTCAGAATCAAAGGCCTGTCTCCCGCCCCAGTCTGGGAGAAAACTAAGCTACTGTATCACAGCTGAAAACTCAGGGGAACTTTGATATCATCTCTGTTTAATTTCCACGGCCCTAGTGAGCCTGGGGTTTATCTCGTTTTATCAACTCCAGGACTGAAATCAAAACCCAGCTAACAACGCTCAGACCTCTCTCCACAGAGGCCCTTCAAGCGGCAGGGTGTGGGCGGAGGAGTTTAAAGTGCTTTCAGGGGCCAGGACAGCAGGGGGGACGAGGTGCTGCCTTCAAAGGAGGCATCGGGCCTCCCTGCCACGAGGAAGGCCAGCTCAGAAGTGGCGCCAGCGCTGCCCGCCTGGGCCCACAGCGTGGCTGCACAACTTTTGAGGAGAGTAATTTCGAAGTATTAAGGGGAGCACGTTAAATTGGGCTCCTGTAATTGAAATGACAAAAATCAGTGGGTTAAGTCCCCATAGAAGGATGGACCTGTGATCAGCTTGCCTGAAACCCAAAGTCAAGGGCACCAAAGACATAGACTGTCTGCCCACATCTACCCACTTGCCGGGCTGGGGAAGGGAAGGAAATATTTCAAATATTTCACTCGCTGTGGGAAACAACGCAAGCATAGCATCAACACAGGGACTGGGCTGCCCCCA